ACTTACTTGCCGGCAACTGCCCATTGCTGCAGTCAGTACTCGGATACTCGGTCGAGCTGGAGCTGTCGGATCCGAGCAAATGTTTTTTGCCGATGTGCCGCATCGAGCCACAGCGGGTCAGAGAACTGGACAGGCGCTTCGAACTACCAAACAGACGCAGCGAGTGACGTCGTTCCAGACGCCCGGGCACCGGAAAACTAGAGCTTCTCTTTGTCATCCGGGCATACATGATCTTGTCATTTGGATTCCCTAGAAGATAATTTTAAAAGGACTTTAGTTTTTAAATGCATCATCCGCATTTCCCATCGTCTGTCTTTTCATGATTTTCCTTTGAGACTACTGGCGAATTAAGTCTCTTTCCACACTGCGTTCATCAGCATCTCTCTCCTCTTCTCATCTTCTCCGACTCCGACTCTTTGAAGTGGTAACCTTTAAGCACAGATTTCCCTCTTATTCGTCCAAGTTTCACACAACTATTCAATAAATAAGACATTATTTTTGCTGAAGTCCTTCAGACATTCGGACGTCAGTACTGAGGTATTCATCCGACGAGTTGGTTGACGTTCCACTTACGTTACTCCGAAAGCTCGTCAGTTGATACTGCGCGCCACATGACGATGAAAGAACGAACTAATCTGGGCTCGCTCTTTAATGTTCAGAAACGCATTTACGAAAAGATCAGACATCTTCTGTACATTTTTCTCCAGACCAACTGTACATTATGATGTTTCAAATGTAAATTAAGGTTAAACTCGGTGATATAAGTTAAGAACACAAAGAAAAAATTTAAAAAAAACACAAATTTAACAAACAACTTTGAAATAAAAACCATAATGACACAGCAGAAATCTGAAACACAGAAAATATAAATACGTGAAACTGATACATCAACACATCAAAAAGACTTTAAAAAAACTGGATTTCATAAAATCATAAACGAGAAAAACATAAAAAGAACGGACCAATCAAAAGCGTTCACATAAAACAAATGAAGCACGGTACAGAATGCATTAAGTTGGCACCTTCCCGCGGCCCTTGCATTCGCTTAACGCCGACTTTATAAAGCGACAATCGGGAAGCATTAACGCAGTCCACCTAAGATCACGTGATGTGCACAGCACAGAACACACACAAAACTTGGAAAGTAATAAATATTCTGCCCTGGTCCGAACACCGGTCTTTATAGAGAATAAAACACGGGGTACCAACATAACAGACCAAGATCGCCAACACAAAACTCCGCTGTGCCTGCGCGCGTGAACGTTTTCTGTCGTCACGCGCTGTCAAGAGGGTTGCATAAACGTGCCTGCAGGCTCGTGACAATTTTGTCAATCGCGACGCTCCGGATAAATGGATTTTGGTAACTGCAGTCACATTTCTGGTCTTTTGCTGACTTTTAATTATTGTTCACAAAGCATTAAATGATACAAGGAAAAATTGAATAATGAATTGGAAAGGCTGTGGAAGCTAAGGTCCTGGGAGACTGCTTCACATTCAGGAGGTCCGAGGTTCAAACCTCGGTCTACAGACAAATGACACTGAAGTTGTCCACTGCTGTCCTCTGTCGATGTCGGGGCAGTTCCTTAAATTAGACCATGGTCGCTTCCTATCAGATCCTTACCATTTCATTAATAATTTTATCATCTGATGCTATGTTACAGTAGTTAATTAAAATGAAATAAAATTAAAATAAGTCAAATTGAGCTACGTGTTATAATGTGCACGGCATGAATCTCAAATGGCAGGAAAATGGAATATTAAGGCTGCATTTTAATTGGGCAATCGGAGTTCCCCACTCCTCGTAGAATTTCATCAGAAGAACTCGGTGGGCGAAGTCTCCTACTCAACTGTAATCGGGACCATGCGCCACTCAATCTTTTCGTCCGTGGATGGTCTTGTTTTCTGCTTGCCTCTGTCAAAGCCGCCGACTGGAATCAGCCAAGAGTTGGCGGACTCGTCAAACCGGCGGCCATCATTACACTAACCACGGACACCAGGCCCCATGAAAATGAAGACCACTCGATGTATTTAGGGGTTAGGTTCTCTTCAGTCGCTGTCCCAGGTTCAGAGTCAGGAACGGTAGGGCCATGAACACTACGAAGGTCATATGAAGTACAATCTTCATTCGGGAAAAATTCAGATTTGTAGGTGTACTATCCTAACCTAACCAATCGTAACCTAACCAAATGAAACCAAATGTAACCTAACCCAACCTGACCAATCGTAACCTAACCAAATTAAACCAAATGTAACCTAACCCAACCTGACCAATCGTAACCTAACCAAATTAAACCAAATGTAACCTAACCCAACCTGACCAATCGTAACCTAACCAAATGAAACCAAATGTAACCTAACCCAACCTGACCAATCGTAACCTAACCAAATGAAACCAAATGTAACCTAACCAAATCAAACCAAACGTAACCTAACCAAATTAAACCGAATGTAACCTAACCCATTGTCCAGACCGGCTCTGGGGCCCACCCACACTGACCCTAACCAACCGTAACCTAATCAAACCAAACGTAACCTAACCTAACAAAATTAAACCGAATGTAACCTAATCCAACCTAAATAATCGTAACCTAACCCAACCTAACCAAACGTAACCTAATCAAACCAAACGTACCCTAACCAACCGTAACCTAATCAAACCAAACGTAACCTAACCTAACAAAATTAAACCGAATGTAACCTAATCCAACCATAATTCAGCATCTTAAACAGAAATGTCCCTTGTGTCACCTCACACGGGGAATTAGAAATACATAAAAGAGATAACTTCAAGTAGCCCAATCTTCATACCAAGTGCACTCAGAAAATCACAAGAGGTGACAAGACACAGACGACACACGTTTGTTTCCTTATAGAATTAAGTCGCCTTACAATACAAACTCTCGACTCGACTCGACTCGACTCGACTCAGAGTGTGGTTATCGAAGGGGGACGGGGTTTTCCGTGGTTTTCGTCAGTTCCTACGGGAAATGATCTGAACTCACCGCTTCCTTCCGAATCCTTTCACATTCATGGCACATTTATCATCGTGTGATTCGGCGCCAACTCTAACCTAACCTAACTTAACCTCGGATATTGACAGTGACGTTAATTGAAACAGATATCCCCCCCCTCCGAAAATGGATAATGTACGCGGTAATTTCTTAAAGTCTTGGCCTTTGCTGTGGGAACAAATGCTTCTTTCTTGTCAGGATGTGGAATCAAACCGCGCTAAAGAAAGCGACCTTTCGATGTGACACGTCAACACAGACGGAAGACGACGACGTGGGAACCTGCACGTGGAGGAAACATCACGCAATCACTTTTACTCGCACTGAATTAGCGGAACCTACCACAACTTTCACTACACATGATCGCAATTTGAGCGGCTCCGTGGGGGGTCACAGTCCTTCATACTTCCAGTTAACAAAGTTTCCGTTTCATCAACTCTTCTTCACAAAGGCCCATCTGAAGGACGACTCTGCGTCCATTCGTGTCCCACGTTCGAATCTCGTCAGGTCCCACTTCTCCGGAAGAAATATTACTTTTCAGGACATCGCGTCTGGAATACCGACTTCACAGAGATGCAACCTGGATCTACGAGTGTAACTACTACGAGGTGCGATCGGAAAGTTTCCAGACTGTGTCAATAGAGGGCGAACCGGATGTAGTACGAGCATCTGCCGCTTGGGGGTGCGGCCTACATTCATAGTGAATCAGTGTGCCAGCCGGCATCATCGAATTAGCATTTGTTTCTTAGTTACGGGCGTTTTGGTAGTGCATTACACCGACCCTCCTGCGATTTCGGAATGGCGGATTTTCATGAACAAATCAAATTTTGCCAAAGACTCGCCAAAACGGCTAAGGAAACCTATGAAATGCTAAAGCAAGCATTTGGGGAAATACTTCGAAATGGGTCGTGCACAAACTTTTGTGAGGCATTC